ATTCGATGCGTTGGTGTATTTTAAAAGCACGGGGGGGGAGGGAACACATACAGCCCAGTAATGTCAGGGTGCGATATGCTCACGTATCAAGTGGGTTTTAGGGATTCTAAAGTTTAGCTGTTTTGCTAAGAATCACTTGAGTTCCAGTACTTTGATGGCAATTATTTCAGTAAAATTTTAAGTAGAAATTTTTCTTGGGTTTTGATTTTTGCAGCAGGGACTGTTTTGGGCTTCAGGGGGGCAACTGACTTTTTACAGGCCTTAGCACAGAGGGGTAGCAAGTCCGGGTGAATAGCTTATTAAATAATAATTCTGTTGTTGCAGATCTGATTTTTTTTCCCAAAACAATGCTGAGAATATGGAATAACTGGAGTTGAAATATCGAGTGCTTTACAGTTTGAATGTTATGCCAAGTACCTTTAAGTACACACTTGAGAACAGAAGTATGAAAACAAGTTTTTTTTTGTTCAGCAGACAAAAGATTCAATAGATGAAAGTCAAAACTATACAAATTCAGGCCAACCACAAAGCTTCAGTCTTTAAGAGTGAGGTTAATTAACCATCGGACCAGTGTGGTATAGGTTGTGATAGAGGATGCTCCATTTCAAGTGGGAATTAACTCCAGGAGAGTCTTCCTAAAAAGAAGCTCTACAATAGTTTTAAAAGCTCTTTTTGTTATCTTTCAGGTTGGTCCAAAAAAGGAGGTAGCAGAATGTAAGGAAAAGTTCGCAAATTCAGTGGATCCAACGGTTAGTCAAACTTTTATGCTAGATCGAGTATTCAATCCCGAGGGGAAGTCATTGCCGCCTATGCGAGGATTCAAGTATTCCAGCTGGTCACCGCTGGGCTGTGACGCGAACGGAAGGTGCCTGCTTGCAGCTTTAACCATGGACAATCGATTGACCATCCACGCCAACCTCAACAGACTACAGTGGGTGCAGCTGGTGGACCTGACAGAACTCTATGGGGAGCGTTTGTATGAAGCCAGTTACAAACTTTCTAAGGCTGACACTCCCAGGGGAGAGCTAGGAGACTTCCCTGAATTTCAGCGACGGCACAGCATGCAGACTCCGGTGCGCATGGAGTGGTCGGGCATCTGCACCACGCAGCAGGTCAAGCACAACAACGAATGCCGGGATGTCGGTAGCGTGCTCTTAGCAGTACTCTTTGAAAATGGTAACATTGCAGTTTGGCAATTTCAACTTCCATTTCTGGGTAAGGAATCAATTACTTCTTGCAATACCATAGAGTCCGGAATAAATTCCCCAAGTGTGTTGTCTTGGTGGGAATATGAACATAACAACCGAAAGATGAGTGGACTTATCGTAGGGAGTGCTTTTGGACCGGTTAAGATCCTTCCTGTCAATCTAAAAGCAGTCAAAGGCTACTTTACGCTGAGACAACCCGTAGTCTTATGGCAAGAAATGGACCAGTTACCAGTGCATAGTATCAAATGTATTCCTCTTTACCACCCCTACCAGAAATGTAGTTGTAGCTTAGTGGTGGCTGCAAGAGGAGCTTATGTGTTTTGGTGTCTCCTGTTGATATCCAAAGCAGGTCTGAATGTCCATAATTCCCACGTGACAGGGCTTCATTCTTTGCCAATCGTATCTATGACTGCAGACAAACAGAACGGCACGGTGTATACGTGCTCCAGTGATGGAAAGGTAAGGCAGCTGATTCCTATATTCACAGACGTTGCTTTAAAGTTTGAGCACCAGCTGATTAAGCTCTCGGAAGTGTTTGGCTCTGTCAGGACTCACGGAATAGCTGTTAGCCCGTGTGGTGCGTACTTAGCAGTTATTACGACAGAGGGCATGACTAACGGTCTTCACCCAGTTAACAAAAACTACCAAGTTCAGTTTGTAACCCTTAAGACTTTCGAGGAGGCAGCTGCGCAGCTCTTGGAATCTTCTGTTCAGAACCTTTTCCGGCAAGTGGACTTGACGGATCTTGTACGCTGGAAAATTTTGAAGGATAAGCATATTCCTCAATTCTTACAGGAAGCACTGGACAAAAAGATTGAGAGCTGTGGGTCTACTTACTTCTGGCGGTTTAAGCTATTTCTCCTGAGGATTTTGTACCAGTCAATGCAGAAGGCTCCCTCAGAGGTCATGTGGAGACCTTCACACGAGGATGCAAAAATCTTGGTATCCGATTCCCCTGGGATGGGCAGCACTGAAGATGATCAAGAGGAAGGAACTTCTAAGCAAGCCAGCAAGCAGAGCCTGTGTGACGCAGGCAAAGGTATGGACATAGATGACACTGCAGATGATTCTCTTCCTCAGTCAAGTGACGCAGGAGGCCGCGAGCCAATGGAAGAAAAGCTTCTTGAAATACAGGCACAAATCGAGGCAGTAGAAATGCACTTGACACGAGAACACATGAAACGGGTGTTGGGCGAAGTTTATCTACACACATGGATTACAGAAAACACCAGTATTCCCACCAGAGGGGTCTGTGACTTCTTAATGTCCGATGATGGCTATGATGACAGAACAGCACGAGTAAGTGCACCTCTATGCTCTGGGGATTCGGTGTTACAAGTGACTTCTTTCTCCCCCCTCTATATCCTTAAATGAAAATACAGCTTTGGGGGTGGGAAAGAGAACTGTAATCATGTCATCCTTGCCAGTCAGCTTCTAGAGAGCATACAGCTTAAGTTGTCCTTCCTTGAAATTACGGAGTAGGAGGGAATGTAAATACAGGTGTTGAAATTTGGGTCGGGTACAATAAAGAATAAGCATGCCTGAGTTTTTGCAGAACAAGGGAGAGGACCACGGTTATTCTGCTGCTGGTGGTGGGTTTAGAACATGTACTGATTGAGAGGGATGTTTGTTTTCATGGCTAAGCTTATTTAATCTATTCTCTCTACAAAACTAAACTTAGGAGGTATTTATATCTAGTCAGTTATGTCTGCAGTTTAAATTTTAAGAGTTGCAGTATCACTTCTTAAAGTATTTATAATTGAAAGTACTGTGACTGTTCCGGTGGTACATCAGGTCTTGTCGTTGCTCCGTGAGCCTTCAGTGGAAAGATCAGTTACAGAGGTTCAGAAAGCGATTGTGTTTTAGGAGTTAAATCCAGTGTTTCAGAACTTTATGCGGGACTTTCAATTAACCAAGCTGACTGAATGTCTTTGTTAGAACATAGATCGCCTGAACCTTCAGGCACGCTTGCATTTATTGAACTACAGTAAATAAGCATAACTGAATGCTTGGCCATGACAGGAACTCTTCCCAAACTCGCAATACTCCCTGCCAAAATAAAAGCATAACTGCAAGGACAGTATCCTGACTATTGCAATGTGTAGAGTGAGCATTTGTGGCAGGGGATAAGTGATGAGCGAACCTTGCACTGGGCAATGAAGTTTTCGGAATATAGACGTCAGACAAAGGAAGCTTCAGTGGGAACTCTCTGCCATCAGCCTCCCGGCTCTTAAGACTTGATGACAAGAATGTCTCAGATGTCTCTGTACCTCTTTGTATGAGCACAGAACAGTTCTTTTCAGTACCTAAGTCCTTAAATCACTTGAACTGTAAAAATCAACCTTTACATTGCATCCAGAAAGACAGAGGAAGGAAGCGCGTTTCCATTACTGATGTAGCATGGTGTTCTCTCTGCTGGATTTACAAGCGAGCAGGCCACGCAGTGTGGCCATCAGTAATTCACTAGGAAAGTATTCTGGCAGAACGGCTGTGTCTTTCTAGCATGCAATTACTATGAATTGAAGGTTTGAGAGGCTGCTTTTCTTGTCTTGTAAACAAGATTCTTCTTTTTATAGTGATTAAAAGCTGACTTCCAAATTCTATTTTATCTATTCAGTTCGCTGTCACATTTTAAAGGTCCTTGGGATGTGGTTTATATCTATTGAAATGACAAAGACAAATTTGATCACATGAATGTTCTACTGTAAACGTTATGTATACTCTAAGATGACTGCTGAAGATACGCACCCAGGTAATTTCTGAACAGGATTTTTTTTTTTTAGCACATCCATTGTGATAGGCGTGAGAACGTGAAAGCATTGCTATAATGGTCAGTGGCATCCTCTAAAGTGGTATGATACCAATGTCTTCAGTACTTTTAAAATTTGCAAGTAGCTTAACAGAACACTTGCTCTTAAGTTCTGTATCCCTTTACTGTGGGACAGAAACCTTTAGGAGATGACAATAAAAGGAGAATAAATTAATACTTACCAACGTATTATATTTCTTATGCTTTTATTTCTTTGAATCCGGTGAAGAGCATAGATCTTTGCATTCCTATTCTGAAATCACAATATCCTGAGATGTTTCCACCTTTCAGTGGGCAGCTCTCTTGCTGTAAACAATGCTGACTGCTGTGTATTCCCAGGTGCTGATTGGGCATATCTTAAAGAAAATGAACAAACAGACTTTTCCAGAGCACTGCAGCTTGTGTAAAGAGATCCTGCCGTTCACTGATCGCAAACAGGCAGTCTGCTCCAATGGACATATTTGGCTCAGGTAATCGGTTCTTAAAGAGTTTTTGCCCTCCTCTGGATAATTTAAACATACTTAAATAGCTAACCTAAAACACTTCCTAGTGTTGGAGTAAAAAGTCATGAAGCATGTTATCCATGCTGCAATTAATTGCAATTTTTGCTGGCTGTTATCTGCCCTCTTCCATGAGAGAGAGAGGGCATTGTAGATCGGATTTGGTTCTCTTACCAGTACACCGTTTTTAAAATAAAATGCTTTTGATTGTCTAACTTTTCTCTTCAAGCAGGGGGAGGATGGGGGCAGGGAGAAAGTAAGCGAGGGAAAAATCAAGCACAAGTCATCCTTTGGAACAGCACATGAAGGAGGGTTTGTTCTAGCTACTTCAGCATTTGAAAACAAAGTAATTTAACAAAAAATGATTGGAAACAGCCACATTGAGAAGTCGGACAAGTTCTGGAACATCTAGAAAAGGAAATCTTCCAACATCGATGTATCGGGTACATGGTGATTGTCCCTGGAGACTTGGCAAGTCAGTAGTCCGTCACAAAGAAAAACCTTTGCCTAACAGATATTATGTGCTAGTTTGGCTAAATAGTCATTGCCTTAAAGACACCGTGGTTCTTCCCCTGCGAAGTAACCCTCAAGCTTTTCACCTCACCTACTGTATGCTAAAATTTTTTGGCCAACTTTTTTCAACGGTATATTGATTTTTGGCCTCTTTCATTTTTGTGACCATGTGTAATTTGGTACACTTGTGAAGTTTCATTTACCTGAATAATTAATTTTTGTGTTTAATGTGGCTCATTACTGCCCTTACTCTCAGAAAGCAAGGTCTATTGGGAACAGAACCCAGCCCCCAGTTAGGGCATAGGAGCACAAAACCAAACAATAAAACCCCAAGCCTCTTGATAAAACTACTTGTCCTTTCACAGGTGCTTTCTAACCTACCAGTCCTGTCAGAGTATGGTGTACAGGAGGTGTTTGCTTCACGACAGCATTGCACGGCATCCAGCCCCAGAAGGTAAACTGTTCCTGTGGCCAAAAGGGGCAGGATTATGTATTCTTAAGTTTTATCTGCAAAATGACTTGAATTAGTTTCACTGACCTTTCTCTTTTAGGCAGTTATCGTGTGAAGTACTAGTACTCTGCATTTCGCGGTGTCCTATCGTTGTCCAGTAGTGGCATACGTTAATTACAGTATAGTGACTGCAGAAATTAATTTATAAATGCTACATTTTAATGAGAGCTGGGTAAACACGTAATCTGTGCTGGAGTGCTACAACAGTTAGTTTATACTCAAGCTGAATATATTAGCATCCAGTTCTGCAAGAGCTGAGGGTCTTTGACATTCTATTTCAGTGCAAGCTGTATTGATCCAGCGCAGGTTAAGAAATAGTTGGCGCTTTGCTGGCTTAGGTCCCAAACCTGCCATAAGTACATCATCCAGAGACAATAACGGCAGGCTGTGGGGGCCAGTCAACGTTTGCATTTTCAGAGTTTGAGGAAGGACAAGCTGTGCGAGAAAATTGTTTTCTTCCCAACTGGTACACTTAAAAATCATGGAGTACTCTAACAGTTTGTCTTGAAGTGTGGGTGATACTTTTCCTCTCCCCATAGTAGGTGGGTATTCCAGTCAGCACTAAGGATCAGCTACAGAACTTAAACCTCGGTAGAGAGAGGCTGTAAACCTGATTTCCTTATATTGGAGAGGGACAAAGAAACAGGAACCAAGGACTGCATTATGTGAAGGCTCTAATTTCAGTTAAGAAAATGAGAACACTACATTTGTAGCATGGTGATCCTTTAAATGTTTTTCCGATATCGCTATTTAGATGAGTATGTAATGATATAGCATGGACTGTTTCAGCTTAATTTTGTCCCCTGCTAAAGCGGGATTTAAACTGGCATTGCTTGAAATTTCAAGACAGAAACGGAGTTGGATTCCTCTGCACTCTCAGTTAATCCTGCACGGTGAATGTACACAAACTGTTTCAGGATGACTATTTAGTTTGTCTATCTCGGGCGTCGTTCTTGTGTTCATCTCTACCTCCAGCTTTAAACAACTTGTTTTCTTATTTGCAGATCCTGAATGGATCAAGAGGTTATTGCAAGGACCTTGCACATTCTGTGATTCTCCTGTGTTCTAGAGAAAAGCTATGTAAAGATCAAAAGTATTTTCTCTACTGCATAAGCTCCCTTCAGTCTCGAAGGATACCAGAGCACAGGAATACAGACTTTACTGGAAGGGGAAGTCATTGTCCACGGCCCTGTAAATAGAACATCGGACGTTCTAGAAGCCCCTTAAGTCCAGAGCCCGTTCCATGCTCCACATCAGGAGTACATCTGGAAGAGCGAGTTTATAAAGCGGTTTGGAAATGCACCCCATCGAAGCATCAGCAGCTGGACGTGCTTCCTTTTACTGAAAAGGAACTGAAGTCTTAAGCACGCGGTGCGAACTGTCCTTTCTGCCCGACAACCGTGCGATTTCCCAAAAGCTAGGACGGGAACAGCAGAACTGCCTCTTGAATGGTCTTGGTGGGTAGAGAAGGCTTCAGCTTGTAGTACTCTCGTTTGCTTTTTAACAAGCACTGGCACTTGCTGCAGAATATTAAACTATCAAAATAATTTGTGGTTCTAATTTCTTGCAGAGCGAAGCGTATGCCAGTAACAGCCATATGAAAGAAATGGGCCATTATATTAATTTCACTTTATCGTCTAGAAGAATAACTGCCTCTTAACTGTTATAACAGTATTGCAGTCAGAAGGGTAATGTTGGCTGCCTGGGTCAAATATGGATCAGTAAGAATAATTTTTAAATGTAATAATTATTAAACTAATAGCAGTTAGATTAAACACTAATATATATATATAATTTCCAGTGCTCCTAAGTCTCTTGCCCCACCTTCTTTTTCTGAACTAAGTTCTAACTACTTCCTAGCTTTTGCCAGTGTATGCGCCTTCTGTTTCACCTAACGCTCTACCAACAGGAATCGCCTTTCCCAGTGCAACAACTTAGTTACCAAAAACATTACCAATTTACATTGTTTTCAGTTGAACTGGGAGTCTCTCTCATACAGAAATTGAGTTTTACAGAAGTTTGACACACAAGTAATCACTCCCAGCTGACAGTTTCTCTTTTCCTAGTAACACAGTTAAAAAAAAAAACCAAACAAACCAGCACCCGAACCCCACCAGGGCTAAGATGTTAGAGGTAAAGTTTCCACAGGTGGTTATGGAGTCTGGTGAAGCTGTTCTTGGATAACCCTGACTTTCTCATCAAGAAATTCATAAATACACCAATTATGTAGCATGGCTGAGCCCAGAAATTTATTCTGCCTTCTAACTGGCCTATCAGAAAAAAACATCTTTCTCTCTTTGGCCCCTGGTTCCTGTGGGGAGCAGGAGAATCCTTTATCAACTTCCTATGCAGCGTTAGAGGACTAATACCTCCAAAATGTGTACGGTTATTTGGTACAGTTGGTCTTGTTAGCTTAAATCCACATTGTCAAATAATCCAAAGCCTATTCTTCAGAGCACCGATCTGGGCACTCAGATATCTGTGTTGCCCTGTTTGCAATTCATGACACTTCTAATCGTGTGTGAAGTCCTCTATAGCTATTTGAGCAATCAAGGACTCGCCTTGACAGTATCAGTCTCCAACAATGCATGTGTGGATTGGTGCTTAAGTTTCCTTGATTTAACGACTATGCATATTTTCTTAACGTTCCTTCACCTTTAGTAGGAGCGAACTTTTTTCAGCTAACATTAAAACAAGTCAGCTGTCCTTACTATTCAGTGTTTCATGCATTAAACATGATAGTGCTTTGACCGAGAATAATATTAATATAGTAGACTAGAACAGCAGAAGCACATTCATCTGTAAAATAATTAGCCTTGTTTGTAAATATTCTTGGAAGTGATACCATAATTGTGTTAAAGAAATGTTTAGTTTTTTATTGCTGTGCATTGAAAATTGAAATTACTTCACTGTGTCTGCAAAGAAAGAAAATGTAGATCGTGATAGCATCTAGTAAAACGAAGAGTAACCTTGATACCTAACGTGTGCGTAGTTTGAGGCCAGGTACTGTACCTGGGGCAGCATTTATCTTCTCCTTCCCAGCACTGTTGGGGTTTGGGGGGGACAGAACATCAGTTTCCAATACGAGCTGAACAGAAGGTTTAGTCACGGTGGTAGAGAAGACATTTTAAGTGGAAGCTGCAAGTCCTTGTCCAGGCAGTCCCGACCAGTTCATCGTTGAGCGAGTGTTCAGATTCAGAAATTCACCTGACTATGCAAAAGGCGAGAGCGCTCTCCAGAACCACGTGTAAGCGCTTTTAATAAAAGGACAAAGAACATTTCTTTGATAGTGGTGTAGAAACCATAATATCCTGACCTACCGAAATGTTTAAGTCTGGCTGACCAAAAGGTTCAGCATGGTATCATTAGATTAATTCCTGGTGATTACTTCTAGCAGTTCTCTTGAATTTCCCTGGATTGAGTTTAAATGCTGTAGATGTGCAGAAGCTCTAGTACACCTAGCATTAATGTTGCAGCATTAATGTTTATTTTCCTTGTCTTTCAAGGCAGTAGATACTCAGTATACCATTGCCAGTTTATTTAACCTGATTTATGGCTGCTGGGAGAATGGAATTTTAAAGCCAGTGATGTCGGCTTTGTCTGCATGCCAGTGGAGATCCTTTAGCACAAAGCTTTCACTTCTCACCCTGACCCATTCACAACAGGTAAAGAGGTATTGTGATTTAATTTTTTTTTTTTAAACCATCACTGGTCCCTAAGTGTGTTTTTTAACTAGCGTAGGCTCGAATACTATAGCACACCTCAGACCAGTAACATTTAACCTCTGATGCTGATCTTACTGGATTTTTCTGCCCAGCTACCAGCTGAGACTTCCTTCAGGAAACCTTTTATCTGTCTTGGACTCATGACTCGCAGTTCTAGGAGTGTGGAGGTTAATCCCGTTCCTGCTGGAGTACTGTAACAACCCGCAGGGCTGCAGCAGCACCTCGATGCATTATCCCTCACGATGCATTGTCCTAATCAAAACCCTTGCTTTCGTCCCACACAGGGAAAGCGAGTGGGTGAGGAAGGTATGAGCACCTGCTGCCAGATCCTCGTGCTATTTTGCCATTAACAGAGCTGCCTTCTCAAACTAATGCATAGCAGAGCTATCCAATATTAAGGCCCAGTCTGTTCTGAGACACAAAGTGAAGCATTCAAAGAGTAAATCCCACAAAATTCGTGTTTATCTCGCTAAGTTTCTCCCTAATTTTTGCGAGATATCTCAAGTGAGTCGTTTAAGGCTATCCTCAACTGCTTCGCTGTTTGGTGGTAAATACTGTGGCTGTTCATGGTGCCTCATCTCCAGAGGAACAACAATGCTCCAGCAGAGAGACTAAGCAGTTCTTGATGCACTGCTGTTTTGCTGTTTGTTTTTGTTTTTTTTTTTTCTTTTTTAAAAGGATTGTGGTATTTGCTGTTGCATCTGAGAATTAATAGCCTGAGATGCCATGTTCTGTGTCTGAAGCTAATGTGTCATTGTCCTTGATAAATAGCTTCTGATAGCATTTAAGATTTGCTACTCCCGCTGGTAACAAGACTTTATCCCTCCTCCGCTGGGATGAAGAAATCCAGGCTAACCCGGGTTCAATGGATAAGCAGAACAGCTCTGGACTGTACAGCTTCTTAGTGCCTTGGTGCTAGATGCCATTGTTTGAACGAAGGTGAAAGTTTGGGGCCATGAAGAGTCTGTCTTGGGTCTCCAAACTGCACCTCCTGCTCTGGAACTGGCGACAGCGGAACTCATTGCTGCCTTTTACCTTAATTCAGCTATGGGTTGGGAACTTCATGATTCAATCATCCCTTCCTTTTGTGTGTTCCCCCATCCTATAAATCCTATTGTATATTCCTAGAGAGGAAATATTACGGTTGCTAATACATACAGGCAATACGTATTTCCCCAATTTTCTTAAACTTACCAGGTTTTCCACTGGCTAATGTATCATCAGTGATTATGGGCAGCGTAACACCACTTATTTGATCCTTATTAAGGGTTTCTTGACATAAAGGAACCGAATGCAAATGTACCAAGCCTTGGTTAAAGGCTAACAAATCACACTTGCGCTGTTATGCCCTAAACTAACGTTTACAGGAGACTTGGTTGTACAAGTTTAATTTCTCGAGTACGGAGCCCTTCCTTTATTATTTGTCCACTGTTTCACAAACTGGGAAGCCTTGCAGGCACGATTGCTGGAGTCTCAGTTGCCGTCTACAGGTACGGCATCAGAGAGAGAACGTGGAAGAGATCCCATCCCCGCTCCTCGGAGCCCTCACTGCGGAGCAGGTCGGGGTCAATCACCGAAGCTGTTGCTCTTTTGACAACATCTAAACTTTGTGCGCGAGACAGATGTGCAAGGCTGGTTAGATGTGTCCGCCAATAGGTTGTTCTTCAGGGGGCAGGATGGTGGCTGCAGGAGGAGGAAGGTACTGCTTCGTTCTGTCTAGTCTTGCCTTTCTGCATGAGTGGAGCTGGGTACGTCAGTGAGAGACCACCACGTGCCTGCTTCCTACTGTCAATCACGATAAAGTGCTTGTTGGCATTTTACAACCTAGTTCATGCTGTTTATTGAATTCTTCCTGGCAGTCACCGTATAAGTGTGTAGCTAGTAGCAGTCCAATACTTAACAATGTAATAAACTTCAAAATTCATTACTGCGGAGCACTAGTTCATATTTTTGCAGCTGGAAGTAAGGGCAATAGCAGTCTTAGCCTCAAAGTGTTGGTAGTCATGGCAAAAGTCAGATTTATAGTAAGCACCTAAAGTAACTGGAAGAAGGTGGTTATGGGTTCTCAGTAAATACAGGTGAAACGCTCGGAGTAGTTATCAATACTACGTCTGTCCTCATCCCCCGCTTGTATTCCCTTTTGAAGCTTTCTGCATCAGGCTTGTAAACACAAATTACACTGGTTATACTCCAGACTTACGTCAAAGTGGGTAGGGTTTATTTTTTAACCAGGACAGGTACAAACGTCTCTGTGGAGATGCCTGCTAGTTTATAGCTCTGCTGGTAAATACCAGGTTGGAAAGCTGCTTTTTTCCCTCCGTGTGGGTAAACAAGGACAACTTGAGCTTGGCTCTATTCATCTGGAGTCCTGTCCTGCCTGCTGAAGGTGCAGGAATCTTAACAAGACGGAGTCGAGCCTTCTCTTGGAAGTCTCAATCCAGGATAGTTTTTCACAACCTGTGGAGGTCAGTGTGCGTGTTCAGCAACGCCCACAGAGCGTTAGTTTTCACTTCTAATGGAGGAGGGCCGTGTGTACCTACTCTCACTTAAATTTCTGTCTGTGCTAATCTTTGGCTGTACTCAGTTCTAACTCATACTTTACACTGGAGATGTTCCCAGACCCTTGGTGTCAGTTGGAATATTCTTACTCTGTCGCTATTTTTTAATGCTAACTCAGTTTTTAGCACTCTTCACTTGAAGACCTGGAGCTCCTGCTGCTCTGTCACGATCCGGGTAGTGACCTCAGGAGTGTCACAGCTGCCTGTGGACGATGGTTTTCATTGTTGCGATGCAGCCGGTACACAGGGCACCGACTAGCATTAACTACAGCACGGTTTGGGGCAGAAAGTGGAGTAATTCCCTGTGCTGTCCTAGGCTGCGGCTGAATCAACCCAAATGTGAATGTTTGGAGCACCTTCATCACAGGAGGACTCATGCACTGCTGAGAGCCTGCAGCAGGAGTTACAGGGCTGTGCCAGCCCTGCAGCATTCTTATTTAACGTGAAACTAGGAGGCCAGCCCTGAAAAGGGAAAACCCAAGAGCCATCCAAATGGAACCGTTCAGAGGAGAGTTTCATTTAATTGCTCCGCCAATCTAGTCGATCTCTTCATGCTACTTTAATTCCATTCTGGGGTGCGAGTGTTGTAGCTGGCCGACCACGGGGTCACCAGGCTGACCGAAAAGCAAAGTTGAGTTTTAATCTTTACTTTCTGGATTTTTCCTTTGAGACTTAGTTCATGGGAGGGTCTGACAAAGTTGCTGTGAATATTGATGCTGTGTATATGGCACATTTTGTAAACGTGAAGCAAACCTGGATGAATGTTTTGTATACTGCGACAGTAGCATTGTAATCCTGCTCCTTTTTTATTCTAAATAAATAAATAAAGTACTTGTTTGTAACGTCTGTATTTCAAGGGACTGAATTCCTGGGAGGAACATGGGGTGCCAAGAGCTGAGACTGGCAGGGAAGAGCAGTGTAGTTAAGCACTCAGTCCTTCAGCATAAGACTTTGCACTTTAAAAAAAAAAGAAAAAGCTTGATAATAAAAACCTCTCTGTGGCCACTGCCACAGAACGCTGTGGTAAAGCCTGGGAGAGGACCTGGGGCCTGATAGTGCCCTTCAGCCACCCAACCATTCCCTTCTCCTCGCCAGCGTAGGTTCAGCCCCTCTTTTCCCTGGCCTCCCGAACCGCCGTGTGGCAGCACTCTGGCTCCAGAAAACAATTCTGCTAAAGAACCGACTTTCTTTGATGAGAGGGGCCTGACATCACCTTTTCTTTTCTTCCGTAGAATCAAACAGTTCTTGTTGCAGAAAGAGGAGAATAACCCAGGAGAGCCTGGCTGTAGAGGGGAATAGACAATTTTCTGTGAAGTACGTATGACAAGGCAAGAGTCACCTTTCGGGTTCAGTTTTGGCAACTGCGACACAGGTGGGCAGTCACAGGGTCATAACCACAAGTTCGCTCCTACTTGAGATCAACTCGGCTCCAGCTGCCCCTCTGGGAAGCAGAACTGAGGCACAGGTACCTGCCAAGCCTGTCTTCTCTCTAAACCAAATCTTAAGGACCTGTACGAGCGCCTTGCTGGCCCGCCCTTCGTTACAGTCCCGCAGCTACCACAGCACGTTGCGAATGGATGGTGGCAAAACCAGCTACATCTAAGGTTTTTGTGCTGGCATCAGCACCCAAGCAGCACCCAAGCCTTACGGGGAAGGGTGAGAAACCAAAGGAGGCGGCAGGGGAAGTCTTTCAAGAGCTACAGGGGGTCCCTGCAGAGACGGTGCTGGAGGATTGGGTCTCCCACCTGGGGGTGTTCAAGCATCCTTCCACCATAGGACACTGAAGGATCTATTGTCTGGAGCAGGTGGACACGAAAGTTTGTGGAACAGTTGGATAGACTCATCTTGTTGCTCAACTACGTAATTAACAGCATAATATATAGGGTATAGCACAACCTCCAGGCAGCCCTCTCTGCAAAGCATCTTCGGGAAGCGGAGTGATAAAAGATGTCCATTTCAGAACTGGGCAGGCTGTACAATAAGTAGCGTCTGGTCCCTGCTGCGTTCTCACCACCTCCTCTTTACCTTGTTTTTCTCATTGCTCAACATCTGTTTTGCCAGAATAAGATGCTAATAAAATCAAGTGTAGTTACCAAATTGGTTTTCAAGTGTTGCATTCCAATTATAAAGGCCTAATTCCTCCTTCCACCCACTGAACCTTTTTGGTATTAACAGGCTTTACTATGCAAAGTGATGCAGGGGCTGTTTCGTTTACAGTAATTAAATGAATGTCAATTGTTTTAGTTGTTTCTGAGGGAGAGTTCTACATGAGTATTAGCATGTTCTGCTAACCCCTACGTTCTGCACTTCAGGCCTGCTGCAAACCCTTGGGGGTTGACCATTGACCTGAGACTCCGTACCCAGACATGCCAAGCGCATCTCAATGAGACGAGCTCTTTTGCTCAGTTTCTATGGAACCAGCAGAGCGGAACTAATATAGCATCCGCATATAGATGAAAGAATGAAGAGGAAAAAGGGCTTTACAGCTAAATTAATTAAGCAGATGTACCTGTCTAATTAAAGATGCACTGTCCCTTTTGTACCCTAGCTGCAGTACAAACAGTATTTAAATACACTCTCTATCCATTTCATCTATCAAAATATTTAGTAGGAACACTCAGATAAGGTGATATTAGCAAGATGAGCTTCCCATGTATTATTAATAGAAGGGCTCCCAATTATGCATGAATGCTACAGCATATCTTTATAGCAATAGCATAAAATCCAGCTGCCTGAGTAGGTTACCACGCAGCACATTTGTAACAGGTAGAACCGTTACAAATGCCCTTGCCCAGCTTTACACGAGGGTTTGCAGTTGGGCCCTGTGCCGTGGGAGCAGCCACTGCCTCAGCCCGGCGCTACGAGCTGGAATTTCTCGGTGCAAACGGCACAGAGGACTCTGCTTGCGTTGCTGGTGCCAGAGGATTCGGCTTTCTTAGATTTCAAAGACATTTATTCTGAGATTTTTAAAGCTGCCCTCAAGGCTGGAAAGTCCGATTCCCATTCACCAAACCCCCCCAAAAGTATTGAAAATTCTGACCTTAAACTCTCCCAAAATAATACAACATCCCCATACCATCTGGGTAACCAGGGTCTTCCCACCTGGATTTACTCTACCGGTATGAGGAAGGAATTTGGCACGTACATCCCTACGGCACTCCATATAGACCTAGACACGCACGATCAAAGGCAGCAACAAAGACCCAAACTTATTTACAGTAATAGGACCAGAGAAGTCACCTAAAACCAAAAGGGTCTTGGAGGCCTGTTCTCTCTGAAAGGACAAGGCACATGCCTCCTGCATCTTCCCAGACACAGAGCCTTCCAGGAGAAAGTTGAAACTCCTCCCCGTCGCCTGGTCAAGGGGAATTCACACTCGTACATAAGGGAGAAATAGAGGGAGACATAATAGAGGCATCAAACTCAGTGCTCCTCTGAATCACAACAGCAAATCACGCCCCCTCCTTAGAAGCATTAAGGATGTGCAATTCCATAGCCAGAGTCTGAGCTAGCTAACAGAGTGCTGTGCTTTTCATCAAGGATTTTTCCGTTAAGAAAGACTTACCTGAGCACGTACTGCAGCCAGATCCAGCCGGAGCAAAAAAAAAATGGGCACCAACCTGCCCAGCCACAGCTCAGTCAGGACAGCCACAGGCTGGGAGCCTAGCTCCCTGAGGGAAGCAGAATTTAGTAACCTATCTGCTCCTGCAGCTCGTTATGTCCTTAATTGGGTTCTGAAAGTGAGGAACCTGCAACCAGTTTTCTATGGCTCTGGATATTTTTCCCAGTTGTTCCGAGTCTTTCTGCCCGGCCGTGGGGTTGGATTGCAGAACGGGGTGATGGGGATGGCCAGTGCATCTGCAGAGTGTTTTGGCAGAACTTTTTAAGCAATCTGAGTTAACAAGGGAGTAAAAAACCTCTGCACCCTGGCCTCAGAGCACTGCAGTTGTCTTTGCGGAAGTGCACTGCAGAGCTGCGAGCTTCATTTTTCTATTTGCTTTTGTGTTCGCTTGCAGCAGAGTGTGACAGTGAGGTAGACAAGTACTGCGTGTGTAGTTTTGGTGGAGAGCACTGAGTGAATTAAGACACAAACACATCTAACAGCTTTAATACTCCAAATTGGCTTCATGGTATTACATAGTTAAGACAAAACTATTCACTGAATCAGAGAATCAGAAAAAGATACTTGAATTAAACACAGGAACTTCCCCAGCCCCAGTGCTTCACACCTTGGATCACAAAACAAAAACCGAAAAAATTTCCCCTAAAGCACAGTTTCTCACTCCCTGTACTTCACTCAGCCTTGGTGAGCTTCAAATTTAACAGAGCTTGGCTGACTTCCTCTGCACTTGTGATAACCTGCCACTTCAGGGACCGGACTGCAAACATTACAGGGAAAAGTTTAAAATCCACTGTTCCAGAAATCATCCTTATTAATTATAAGCTTTTTAATTTTTTGCATGGAAGGGGCTTAATGATACAGCTTTCTATAAACTCAAAGACAACATGAGGGTCTTGGTCAGCATTGACATAAAAGGCATCTTCATAAAAATCCTCCAGTTCCTTGACATTCCTGTAATAGGTGTCCACGCGCTTCTCAATATTTTCTTCCTTGTCTCTAGGGTTCTGCCTGAGACGGGCTTGGATCTCCGGTGTGGGTGCTGGTCTGAATGCAGTGTGGTATCTGGAGGTGAGATACAAATGCCACTGCTTCAGCTCAAGTTGAGGACACAGAGGCCATTTCCTACGATACTCCATGTTTTTGCCTATCACAGTTCCTTGGAAGTGCCTCTTTCTACTCTAGGATGGGGTTTTAAAACAATGATTGGAAATTTCAGAGCAAGTAATCTGTCGTTCCTGCTCTCAAGAATCCTGGATACCCAAAAACCAAGAGTTTCTCTTGAGGTGACACAGAGTGTGCTGCTAGTGTTTATATACTTCACACAAGGTGTGGAGAAATCCCTGTTACATGCCCAGTGCTCCAGGTTCAGAAACATTTCCAGATCTGTTCCAGATCCAATCCCAAAGTAACATGTTTTACTTGTAATCTTTGATTCTTACCTTAAAAAAAGCATCTCAAAAAGTGTAACCTCAAACCTTAGCATCTGTTAAAAATCTTTGCTGTGGTTTACTGTTATGCTAATGCTGGACACTAGTCAGGAAAAAGCTGTCAAACTTTGAGTGCTTTCTCTGCATTGAACCAGTGAGCCCAAACATAGCCCTGTGTCCTGGCACTGCTGAAGGGCCTGTGACTTCAAGTGTGTTTAAGGCTCTCAGACATTGGGGACTTTCCTGCCAAGATTCAAAAGTGCAGCAACAGGGCTGGGATCATCAATATTAACTTTTGGAAGTATTTCCTATTAGCAGGCACGTGGCTGAGTGCTTCCAGCAAACGGCCGAAGGGTAGCGGAAGCACAGCCCTCGCTCGACACAGTCTCCAAATCACCGCAAGCTCGAGCTTGAAAGACAGGTATGCCTCCTCTTGATAAGCCACTACAAGTAGGGTTAATACTGTGTTTGCTAAAGATCACTGGAAGAAGTTAAGAAGACACAAATACTCTACCTCGGTCTCTATTTCTGGGAGGATACCAGGTAGAATAGAATTGCTAACATCTTTTTATAGTAGCTGAAGATAAAAAGAGGTTAATTCACTGTGAGGTAGGTTTTGGTTATTTCTAGTTTCCAAAATGCCAGAATTTGGCTTCCCTGAACTCACAGTTGTAGGTTTGCTCAACTAGTCAGCAGGCTTCAGCAAGACAGAGGATTTTCATCACCAGAGTCCCATAGCAGTGCCGCAGTCCAGCTCAGTCTGCCCAAGCAGCTGACACCAAAAAGAATTCTGACAATGTTTCTGCATTGCCAAAGGCTCCCGACGATCGCTAAAAGCTCTTCTGCAAACATGTATTTAAATTTCCTGCCACGGTAATTCTACTTCTGAGTAAATGTCTCCTGTGCCCTAACACAAAACCAGTTTATCTAGTATTTTAAATTTTCTGAAACTGTTGGGATAGATACAAAACCGAGGAGAGAAGCAGAGTCTCCGTGCCTCTGCACAGAACTGCATTACAGCTCCAGCTGGTACAGTGATGTGGGCACAGAGTTCACTCCACATCAGAATTATTTAGAGCACAGCTGAAGGCCACCCTCTTCACTGCACTGTAGCCAGCGGTGCAGGTTTAACATAACGCCGAGGATTAGCTACAGCAACTAAAACAATTCAATTCACAATGAATTTGGAAGGAATAAAACCCAGAGTTTGGAAGAAGGAAGCGTGTTAACTGGAGCAGATACTGAACAGGCTAATCCTAATGATAAGAAATGCAAAGATGTGTGAATGATTTGCTTCATACTGTTCATTTTTTCTGAACAACTGCATCACTTATTACTAAAACAAAGAACAATTACAGCAAATCACTGTTGCTGTCACAAGTTAATGTTGCACCTCGCGTGAGATGTCTGAATAATCATGTATCGCTTTGGGACAAGCCCAGTATTTATGGCCTTAATCTTTGAGGGTTCAGTATTTGTCTTTGATTCAATAGGATGCATTTAACCATTGGAAAAATAAAATAGTGGTTTAAAATGTAAGTGGGGGAATCATAAAAACAGAGCACAAGTGAAGTTGCAAATACACGCCAATTCCAGCAGGTATTTAGGAAGATATTTCATTGTTACTTGTTCCCCGAAAAACATGGGTGGAGAAGACAGTAAACCTGAAGGTCACTGGTGAAATGAGGTGATGTGACTGCCGGTGAGATGAACTGCCACATTTGAGAACCCAATCTTACAGTCACTCAGTGACTCAGATGAGTTTGCTCTACTGAGCAGGAAACATGTTAATATCTCACAGCAGACAGAACCATCACGGGAGCTGGGGGAAGTAAAATGCAGCAAGTTTTCCATTTTCCCCAGCTGGGAAGCCTTCAGAATTCCCATGGGAATGTCTGAAAACCATCTGCATTTAGGCTAGGTTTCAGACATCTTCCCTCAGCGTTATCTTACCAACCAATTTAGTTACCTTGCTACTGTAGATTTCAGGCTCCAAGATTTTTAAATGCCCTATTCTGAGAACAGGGTGGGTTGGTACTCGAGTAGCTATGAAAGTTTTAACTTTTCTTTTAAGGAGTCCCTAAGCAAGAGTACAATATTCCTGAGTTTCCTTAGATTTCTATGAAGTCTATCTGGTGCTTTCATCTCACTGACAGTCTTGAAAAATGTTAAACATCAGACATGAGTGCTAACCTTTCCCCAGTGACGGGATCAATCCTCCGTTGAGACAGCCGTTCCATGATGGATTCATAGGGGAGATTAAAGAAAAATACCCTACGGAGAACATAACAATTAAGTGCATTAGCACCCTGAGAACATCACTCGTGACCTTCAGAGTATGCGTTAATCCTTACCCAAACGGACGGCACACACAAACATGGAAGTGACAGTACCACTCAAAACTGCAGCATCAGAAAACATTAGCATATGCACAGGACCTCTCTTCTCCAGTTCTTCTCCTCACATCTTGTTTAGTCTCCAAGCTCATCAAGGCAGCAGCTCTTTGACACACAGCATGTGTGGTGCTGTGTGCGCTGACAGGGCTTAACGGACAACACAGTGTGGACACCGGTGACTGAATTACAGCAGGAGCCTATCTCAGAGTCTGCCATAGCTTGCTCACAAACCAGCAGTTACCTCTGAACTTCCCCTGGATCCAGTTTCTCAACCCCACTAGCAAGTACAATCACAATGACATTCTGCAAAAGGTGAATAAAAAATTGCTGCTGTTCCTGTCAAGGACAGAAAAAGAGCTTGCCTGCCAGTATTATGCATTCCTCCCTAATGACAGCACTGCGTGACTCAGTGCCCATGAAAGGGATCTTCCTCTTAGTCCACTTCCACTTCTTTTGCCCTTGTCTCCCCACACAGCCCCACAGCGTGAGTCCTCCTGTCTCCCACTCCCATCCCGCATCCTTAAAAGCAGAATGAGTAATAAGACTTAACACGTGCCGCATTATGACGCTGACAATTCCCTGTCCCTTCCGTTAGCATTGACCTGCAGAGAACAGCACCAGGGCACGGAAGGCAGCTCAGTACGGCATAACCCACTCGACAATCAGCCTTGCTGTTGAGACTGCTGAGGAGGAAATATTAATGCTTGATTTTAAGATCAAAATCTGCAATTCCCATTGAGTCTAAACAAGACACAGTTTTTCAGCATCTTAAAAAGTCAGGCCCTCCGTGTCAGTGGTGTGGATTCGGTGCTATGGACAGCTTTTCACCAGAGGGTGGAGTGGGACTTGCCAACTCATTTCGTACAGGTTACACAAAAGCCCTGATTTGAATCGAGGATGCAAAACCAGAAAAGAATATACACCACTATTGACCCCAGTCACATTACACTGTTGAGTATAAACTGTTGTGCCCATCTCACATTGACTCCTCCTTGGCATTTTGGTTCATTGTAACAGTCTGTTAATTTTATATTCTAGTTCAAAAGCTCTTCAGCAGAAAATTGTCGACAAACTGCTGAGAATGAGCAGACATGAGTCCCCTGTCCCCCAGCTACTGGAGACTAAAGCAGATCTGGACAAAGATCACATTCGATGATTGATTCAGAACAAAACAAAAAATAAGGCTTCCTTTGAAAACTTACAGAAATAAGCTTTTACCAACTGAGCACGGCCTGAAGGCTGTAAATACATCCTTCTTTATAATACACCTTCTCCCGCTGCTGCCTTCAAGGCCAGGCTTCCTATTTTCATTTTTGTCTGCCTCTCACAAAAGATACTGTATGCTTTAGACATTCACCAAAGGAACATTTTACACTGACTGGGTGGGATCAGACCAGATGAAAGGCTGAGCTTTACCTTGGCATGCACATAGCAGATTACTAGAATCCTTTGTAGGATTTAAAGTTATGAAAATCATCTCTCTTTTCAAATGTTTACAGATAATGACTTCTAGTCACACTGTGGTAACAAAATAACAGCCGGGAATAAAACATTCAAGATCTCGGAGATTCCAAAGACAGGAAAAGAACAACAGTTTCAACACTCTTTTATCCCTTACACTCTTAACATTTTGTTTTTCTTTGTTTCTGTTGCCCAACAATGGCACAAAAACGTGATTGTCAGAACAGGTAACATCTGATGATGTGTCTCAAGATGAATATTCTAGTAGAGAGGAACAACATTTATACAGTCATGATAATTGATACGGCTCGCTACTATATTCTGAAACAAACAAAACCGCTAAAGCATTATAACCTGGCATATCAAGAAAGCTTGTTGTAATTCATAGTTACTAACTCAAAAAGTATTATGGTATTTGAAAGAGAAGAGCCTAAAAAACTCCACTTAAAAAGCTGCCAACAAAATGAACTCTGAAAGCCTTGTCTGAGATTCCCTTCTTTTTTGTACAAGATGCTTCTTATTATCCAGCCTGGTGTCACTATTAAAGAAGAGTGTAGGGGGAAGATGTGGGAGAGTATAGACATCCCTGCTAATATGGATTTTTTTTTCCCCACGTGCATTGTATAACGGCACACACAGAATATACTATACAACAGCACAAACTCCTAACCCAATGGTCCTTCCAGTGGAAGGTGGGATGCCTTACCCTGCCATGCTGTACATCTCCTATAGATAAGAGAAAACAACACTCCCCAGGGCTGTCAGTTTGAAATCGTTCAGAAGCAGGAAAAAAAGATGAAGGGGAAAACCACTGACAGAACTACCGTCTAGACTTAAAATACTTCCAATTAGAAAGCTTTATTATCATTTTGAAGGAGACACATACCACACACAGTCTATTATGCAGCCCCAGGAGGTTTACTCACATGAGTAAAGCCTATTTACATGTATGCACTCTCTGTGAAGTGTTAGCCTTGGGTATATGATACATCTCCTTCAGCTCCTCAAGGTATTTCTGAGCAACATTTCGCCCATGTCCCTCTCTCGGGCTGCTACGACTCTGATCACATAACAAACTTGACCCTTCAACTGTCCAGGTAACTTGTTTGTTGGATTTCTCTTGGAAATCCTCGTAAGATAGAGGGCTGCATCCACCACCCTGATCCAGCATTTAGAGCAGGAACTGGAACAACTCCCTACAAGTACTGGGTTCATCTCCAAGCAGAGCTTGGCCCCTTTCACATACCGAGTGTAATTTTTTTCACATAAGTGCATCCTCTGTAAAGCTCGCTTTAGGAATCAGCCAGGCTTTGTATGTTGTAATGTGTCACAACTTCTATCAAGGGGAAATATGAAACAGATGTCATCAGAATTGGTAGACAGGGAGGCAAGGAAACACAGCCTCATATCAAAGTATACTACATTATACTGCTAGATTAGCATCTAGCACAGCTTCTCTTTCAGAGTTGGCAAGCTGTTAGTTCAGCTCCGCAACAGGTGAATAATATCAATCAGCAGCAACGCGAGGTGCGCACCGGGGAGGGCTGGGCAGGGATGCACCAAGAATCCTCACGCCTGCATCACGGGCTCAGCACCTACCTAGCGGCAACCAAAAATCCTTGGCATCCAGTTACAAATCGGCGCTCTGTGGGGTATAACTCGGTAGAGCCTCTCAGCCCAGGTCTCTGAGGACAAATGTCCCCCTAACTACCACTGAGTGGCAACATTGCTGCTAGATGCAGGACTGAAGCCAAGTGATTCGTAAGCAAAGCTCTGTCCTCTCTCCTTTGTTCTCTCTCCCAGGAGAGGGATGTGAGAGAAGGTCCAGTCCTGTCAGCTAGCTTTCACAGATAATAAAACCGTGAACACAAATGTTAAAAGGAAAAAAAAAAAAATCTTCTGTCAGAATCCTGCCTTTTCCTCACTGCACTTGACATCACTTATCTAATCTATTACAGCTTTCAGATACATTAGAGAGATTAAATTCCAACAAATTAATAATGTTGATGACACCTTCACTGTGTACCTAGTCAAATGAGAACTAGTCGCCTTTGGATGACGATGAAATATAGAAGGCCTCTAACAGCTGGAATATAATGTTGTTTTCCTACCAGCCACCTGGCATTCCAAAAGGGTATTCCAATCACTTCTGGCTTCTGACTATTCAGTCAGCATTGTCTAAGATCTTAGAGGTCACCAGGGCATCCTGATGCCTTCCCTTTGCAAACAGAGAGAGGAGGAGGTGACAGTATGGGTGGCAGAAGTTTTATTTCACGCCTGATCGTGAGATGGCATTTTTGGAAAAATGTGTCACAACCATACAATAAGTGAAGAAAGGTTTTTTGACCTGCACAGCAGCATTCATCTAATCCTGAACTGCATTTATTCCAGATGGCAGCCAACCTAGTTAATCCAAGTTATTAACAATTGGCAGTGCTCAGACTTGTCCACAGGAGAATATTTTGGTGGTGGTTTTCTTGTTTTGTGGATATAATGTCACCGACTTAAAGCACCTATAATGGAGGCAACGAGTGTTGCCATAAGACAAGTAAGTGCTGTGTGCCTGAATTTTGATATCACTGTGCTAGGGATTAAGGCACACTCCTCCTGTGAACTGACAGTCACCTTCCAGGATGGCTCCACTGCCTTGCCAGCTGTCTTCACATCTCAAGAGAACTAAAGCTCTGTCTGTAAGCCACAGCCTTCCATGGGTTTTGGTCCTGTAATTTAAACATAGCCGTTTTATGAGGCTGACCTAGATGGATCCAGGTGTTGACTGCTCTAGACCTGAGCTATTTACTTAGGTCAGATTCTCATCCTTGGCATTTCCCATTACCTGGAATTGCTCTGGATTGACATTGGTGGAGGGGAGCCCAAAGCCAAGCCCTTTTTGTAAAATTATTGTCTGTGAAATTTGACCTATACCATTAAATCTAATTGAATTCATACCTTGTTTTCATTTAAGGATGAATTCATTTAAGGATGAAGAGTGATGCAATGCGATATCTGAGACAGAATCCTGGCTCCCTAGCTGGCCTTTACAAACAGAGACTACTGACTTGCTTGTGGCTATACCAGGCCCAGATCAAGCCTTGCAATAAAGTTAGGATGCTTGAATTAAAAAAAAATACAACACCAAACAACACTGGGCCATTTTTAATGTAGCATTTAAACTTTTGAGTTGAAACTGCAACTTTAAAAATAGTAAGCTATTCATCTTTCCCTTATTTTCTTGACTCCTATATATCTTCTCCCTCGTAGGCAGGTACCAGCTGCCATATTCCCATTCTTCACGCTCTGCACTCTGCAAAAAAAAGAGGCCCCTGCTGGCCAATTCTTGTTTAAAATGGTGCATAATTGATAGTGGCAAATCTACCCCAGCTGTGTCTAAAACCTCTCCAGGGGCAAGAAAAACAC